AACTATCACCTGGAGTCACATCCTTTGAGAAATATTCTAACTCCAGTGTTCCCAAGTCCACAGAATGGAATATTATGAGTTATGGGACCTTTATTCTCAAACCATGAGGAGTAAATTGATGAAAACATAAGAAAAAGGTACAAGTGTTCTGCCTTTGTCATCTGTAAAAATTTTATTGAACTCTCTTAGGGAGGAAAAAGTGAAATATTTACTGGAGAAAATCTTTATTTTCTTTCCCACGCTACATTATACAATATTGACCCCTGAAGGAGATGTATTTAGAGGGTGCTACTGTTGTTTCTGGGCAGAAGGCCCTTGTAGCAGACTTCTCAGCACATGACATGACTGCATCTGATCTAAAATTTTCTGTTACATTTAATCCTGGACTCATCTGTATACAGAAGCATCCAGGTAAATATTGGTAACATGGGTTGAGTAGATGCCATTTAACCCAATGATGTTGTTCATAAGGTATACATGCTAGAATGGTCAAACTGTGATACATCTTTTAGTTTTCATTTGATCATCAGATTATTCAACAAAACTGATTCTTCTTTAGAAGAGTTCTGACAAGGAATGTAACAATGGGAGGTAGAAAAGCAGGGCAAATATTATCACTCTTAGGTTTTCTATTTATGAAAATGAAGCTCAGAGTGAGTTCTCCACGTAAATGATTACTGTTCAAGAATTATTTCAGTTAATGCATATATGTTCTCATAAAAAAGCACAATCGCCTTAAGACACTTCTGTTTTAACTGAGGCTTTGGAGGGTCATGGTAGATGTGGAGCTATGACTTGAGGCAGGAATTTAGTGTTCAAAGTCAAGCCTGGGGCCGTGGGCTCTTCTCCTTTACATTCCAAGTACCTCAGATAAGGCAGCCTCAGAACTTTTTCTTTCAGAAGAAAGGATTTATTATTGAGTGAATGATAACTTAGAGTTTCAAAGTCTTGTTAGAACTGTCCTTTATGGAGATTAGGTGAGAGTGTTAATTTAGCACAGCGTACAAGGCAAGAGTTAGGGGCTTATAAATACATGTTCTCTAAATTGTAATGACACATCAAAGCAGGGACACACCAAACAAGAATAAATGTCACTTGCATTGTGCACACACTCAGTAGATCTTTCATAGACAGGTTTCATAACACCACAGCTGCATAATTAAATTATGCATGGACATAATTAATATTTGCAAATACTCCATGTGATGACAGCTTAAACAAAATGGCAATATTGTTATAGCAGAGACTGATATTTTTGATGGATAAAGTGACAAAATGAACAGCCATGTCTGTAGTATGGTTAAAAGGTTAGAATGTATCTGTTCATTTTTTTTTTTACTTTTTATAACAAAATATTTAAGACTGAGTTTTATATAAATTCTGTGTATATTTGTACATATTTAATTATAATTAAGATTTAGCATGCTTTTTTGGAAGTACATTTAAATTTTTTCTAACAAAAAGTTTTAAGGCACTGAGAAGACTGAAATAAATGTCTCTACTCTATAGGAGATTATAGATTGGAGATATGAGAAATTTAAGTAATAACACAAATATCTTGTAGTGCTTAATTGAACTGCAGAGATAATAAATGCTAAAGAATTAATACAAAGTGGTTTTAAGTAAGAAGGTTTCCTCATGGATGAGGAGTGACTTGACTTGGGTTTGTAGCATGGCCAAGGAGATGAAAGACATACTTTGAAAACTGTAAAACATTGATGAAGGAATTTGAAAATGATACAAAGGAATGGAAAGATATCCTGTGCTCTTGCATTGGAAGAATTAATACTGTTAAAATATCCATACTACCCAAAGCAATCTACAGATTTGGTGCAATCCCTATCAAAATACCCATGACATTTTTCACAGAAGTAGAACAAATAATCCTAAATTTTTATGGAACCACAAAAGACTCCAAACTGCCAAAGCAAACTTGAGATTGCAATGGGTAATTTATTTTAGTTATTTTGTTCTCTTTCTTTTTTCTATAATATATGGGAGACTTTTAAAGCTTGCTTTAGGAATCCGAAAGGAGAATAATACTCAGGAAATACACAGGTTCATATAGACTCATCTTTTAAGGTGAGTTTCTTATGGCTTCTGTCCTCTCTCAGGCTTTTCATTCTCAAATAGGTGTCTGCCCAGCTGTTGCACTTGACTCAAAAGTAATTCCATATTTCTCTTCTTCCTTTCCCATTTTGGCCTATGTTCCATATCTGCAGGACAGTTTACCATGTAATATCTATTAACTAGATTGACCTCCCATCTAGGTTCTAACTGGATATGGAAAAATCATTGCCTGGGTGACCCTCCATTTGCTCAACATAAACCTGACCAAAAGTGAATCCTCTTCTTTCCCCTTAAGCTGTTTCCTTTCTATGGGACTTACCACTATGACAATTATAATCATCCTATTCACCAGCGCTCAGAAGCTCAATACCATCCTTATTCCCTTCTTTTTTTCATTCTGTACAATTTATCAAATAATATGTCTTCAAAATGTTCATCTTATTTGCATTTTTCTAAAGTCTTTGGCACCATCCTAGTTGAGATTATCATCTCATATCTTGATAATGACAACAATCTTTCATAGTTATCACTAACTCTTTATAATTTCACTTAATGAAATGCCAACAGTATCAACTCTTCCAATTCAAGAGCACAGGATATCTTCCCATTTCTTTGTATCATTTTCAAATTCCTTCATCAATGTTCTATAGATTTCAGAGTATAAGTCTTTCATCTCTTTGGTTAAGTTTATTCCTAGGTGTTTTATTCTTTTTGATATGATTTTTTAAAGTTTTTTTTATTTATTTGTTTTTAATGGAGGTACGGAGGATTGAACTCAGAACCTTGTGCATGCTCAGCATTCGTTCTACCACTGAGGTATCCCCTCCCCGCTGATGTAATTTTAAATGGGATTGTTTTCTTGCTTTGTCTGTCTGATAGTTCATTATTAGTGTATAGAAAGGCAACAGATTTCTTTAGATTGATTTTGTATCTTGCAACTTTGCTGAAAGATGAAGCTTCTTAAAGAAAATCCTTATTTGTAAAGCAAAGAATTATAAATAATTCTATTGAGTCAAATTAAAAGGGCTTGCCGAAATGCCTGGTGACTTTGAAATCTATCAGGTAGTGTCCATAGCCTTGAATTCATTTTAGTTATATTTGTGATGCTTTTCATTGTATCATTGGAATAGACACATTTCTTAACTTAAAAACACTATGAATATAGATCCTTCACACATTTTGTATATTATTAATTAAAACTCCATTAAAAAAAACCAAATATCACAAGTAGAACTAATTTGCTTATAAATAAATATACTTTTTTACTGCAAAATAATAGAATGCTAATAACACTTAGAAAAGAGAGAAAAATGTCTTGTAATACATTAAAATAATAATTTAAATATATTCCCTTTCAGTCCTTTGTTCCTGATATTTAGACTCAGTACTGCTATTCGCTGTCTGCATGAGCACGTGCAAATCATTTGATGTCTCTAAGCCTTAGTTTCTTGCTCTGGGCTGTCTTTCTTAAAAGTTGTTATAAAGACCAAATGAGAGGACGTACATGAAAGTGTTGTGGCAACTGGAGCACAGAGTATAGGCCCAATGTGGTCTGTGATGTTGCCTGTAAGTGGTCCCTGAATTTACATACACTCAGAAGGTATTACCTGCAGGGGATGTGCACAATCTCTGATTCAACTAGTGTGTCCTAAAGACATCTCTGAATAGGTTGGCTCCTGAATGAACTTTACACAGAACCAAGGGTCACCTTACTTAGAACAATTCCAAGCTGACTGAATACCTCCCCCAAATGCTTCCAGTCACACACATAAGCTGCAAGTTGGATCCCGGTTTAGATTCGTGATCTAGGGTTAGATGAATTCCACCACAGAAGAGGTCAGAACTCAGAGGTAATTGAAGTGGGCCGTTCCTTTTCTCTATGTAAGCGATGGTATACACTTGTTAAAAGGAGGGTGGGATTTTCATTAACTCTGCGAAATGACACATTTTATACACTGTTACTGTAATTCTTCAGTAACTAGGCACAGATAATCTATGGGCTGTCACCTCCATTTATTTCCTGCGTGGATCTAGTCCTATTATTTTAGAAGTGAGTGTAGTTTGCTCAGATAGAACAATTTCAAACCTAAAATGAACTTATCCTAAACACATACTTATCAATCTGACTTCTTGCCTATGGAATGATCTTTTATATTCTCTTTTTTGCTTTATGTGCATATTTGAATAAAAATACTTTGTATGAGATAATAGTTTCAATTTATTCTCTTATTTCAGATTTGGATGGATTAATCTGTGCAAAGATAACCACTAAATTTATGAAGACATGCACTACATTCTCATATTCCCGGTTTTCTGAGGAATGATTATTTAATAGTTTTGACACTATTTTCTTTCCCTTATTTCAGCAGCAACTAAAAAAGATGAAAAGAAGGAAGGTATGTTTTATGCAAAGTTTCACTATGCTTTTTGTGTGAACAATTTAGCATTATCATAGTTGAATTTTGACTGCCAGTTTGTCTGTATTCACTTTGGCTCTATTATGTGACTACATTTTGCATGAATGTGTTTTTTTTCTTACTTCATATCACACAAAAGGGTGAACTATATTTTTAAAGATAATTTTAATCTAATCTTTCTCAACATATAGGGGATAAAACACAGCCTCTCAAAATTTCAGGTCTCCTATTCCATTAGCAGTTTCATCAAATTTCAAAAATATGCAAAATACAGGCTCATTTTCTTATATTAGCTACTTACATCTCTGACACCACAAGCAGCTGATGTTAACTTGTTCTATTCAGTTGCAAATAAATCAGTCCATCCCTTGTGCACCACCTCCTTTTGTCAGGATGTCCTGAAGTAGAGTCATTTATTCCCTGCTGTCAAAGAAAGATCTCCCCTTAAAAGACTTAAATAGGCAAGAAAGACTTTATTCAAGACTGCTGCAATGAGGTCAAGTCCATTTACAATAAGAGAAATTGAACTCAACTCCACTGAAGCAGAAATGAAAGTTTTTAAATTCTTGGGTGATCTAGCAGAAAAGTACTGGAGGATGTTGCTGGATGTGGGGTGGAAGCTGACTGAAAAATAATTCCTGTTGAGGCCATCGGTGCTGGCTAATTGTTGCTTATGAAGTTAGGCGCCTGCCTTTCCACAGAAATTTGGATATAGAGTTGCTAGCTCCTTCGATGATTACATTTCAAATAGACGTCTTACAGGTCTTGAGAAAGATATTTCTGGAAGATTTGTGCTTCAAAGGAACAGAGAAAGAATTTACAGCTGCAAGTTTTCTAAAGTAAATGCTCTGTTAAAATGGAGGTCAGGAGCCTATAATTAAGAAGAAACCTGGGTAAAGTTTATTGAAGCTGAGAGGAACGTCCAGGTCCTCTCCGTCACTGTGATTCTGTTTAGAGGTGTTTCTAATGCACATCTGACTCCACGTAGCAAGGTCTCTAGATATCACCACTGTGTATTCATCTAGGCTTATTTTCTCAGTAAAAAATAGCATATAAACATAAGCAATCACCTCTAACTTTGAAAATGATTATATTCTATTAAATTCTAATGATCTGAGAAGAGAATAAGAAAACAAATATTATATTTTATATTTAGTATCATCAGAATTTTACACAGGCATAAAATCTTGAGAGTCACATTCTGCCTCTGTTAAGCAGGAACCTAAGAGTCAATAGATATGAGAGGGAGAAAATATTTTAGTTGGTTATTATTTAAAGAGAAAAAACCCATAGTACTAAAATCAACTAGTACATATCAATTAGTTTATTGTCAAGACATAGAAGTATTAATTCCCCATATACACACAGCAAATATTTCAGTGTATTTTGAAAAGCATGTTGTTTATGTGATCAACACTGTGGTGAGAATACAGAGACCTTACAAGAAAAAAGAGAAAAGTTCCTGGCACAGTTTCTGCCAGACAGTAAGCCCTCAGAAATGTTTATCTTTCCTCCACCCTTCTTTCTTCTGAATAAAGAATAATTTACCATTCCGTTTAAGTAAAAGAGTAATATGAACAGTTATTTATCCATTCATTGGCATTCAATGAAAAGTATTGAAAACTTTTGGGTACATGAAACAGTAGTCAAATTATAACACATTATAAGTTTTATGTGTGTGTGCTTTTTTTCCCTCATTGCTATCCTTGGTTCTAGTTTTCCTAGATTATGTGGCTTTTTTTACTTTTCTCTTTTGGAGAAATTGTCCATATTCAGTGCGCAGGTTTTGAAAGAGCTTTGGGAGCCTGAGCAGAGGTTTGGCCATGGAGATTCAAGTAAACCAGTGTCCATCACCAGCTACAGCACATATAAACCATACACTCTGGACTATTTCTTAATATTAATATTGTAATCATTAGTGATATTAAATTATCACTTCCAAAGAGTTTCATAAATTATCTCTCATCTCTTGCTTGGAGAACAGTTTTTAAAGCTCTTTTTGGAAGGTGTGAGTAGGTAACTAGGTTTATTTATTTATTTTATTTTAATTTTTTTTTGGTGGAGGTACCAGGAATGGAACCCAGGATCTCATGCATGCTAAGCATACACTCTACCACTGAGCTAT